AATTGTTTATCATCGGCGATTTTTTCCGGACCGATACGACTTAGGGACCTTCAAGAAAAGAGCTTACATCTTTCCAAAAGGCCGGCAATTCCCCTGGTGTTGCCATCAGGTGAGCCGCATGGTCGTTTGCCCCCTATTCTATATAAAAAAAAAACAAAATGTTCATGCGGCGGGATGACGCCTGACAGTCGTTTGCTGAGGGGAACCATGCGCCGCTCTACTCGGTTGTATACGCTCCGCCCAGGAGCATTAGTCGCTATGAACAGGCCGACAAAGTTGTATTTAGTGAGGTGTTGAATGGCAAAGTTCTTGACTTGTCGGCCGTTTACGTCTTCAACAAAAAAACGGGTGCGGAAGTCGTTGGGACATAAGGCCTTGCTGACAATAGTGTTGTTGGCATGCTTGATGTTTGGATAGGTAGCTAAAAATATATAATAATTATGACCAGTTCTTTTACGAAATATCTAGGTTTGGTTTATATATCATATACCTACCTAGAATACGTAATATTATTATATTTTAGCAGTAAACTTACCTGTGAAAAATAACTAAGCATTGTTGCTTTCTTATTCGTGGCCTTCACCTTGAACTCTCGTATAACATCATTTATATGTTCTATAAACTTTTCTTTATTTTTTAGTTTTTCTTTTGGCACAGTTGTGCTGGCAAGTCAGCATAAGAGCCTTTATGTGCCAAGAAAAGCTAATGATGCAAATCTTCCTCTTTTTTAGGACATTACAGTATGAACTCACTTGTAACAACTCTGACTACAGCAATGTGCTTCTGCATAAGATGAATACTGATAACGAAAACAAAATAAAAATGACGTACAATACAGTCGAGGGATTCCCCGTAAAACACAGACAAAAAAGATTACCAACTTGGGAGGACAAAATAAAAATAACGTACCATACAATCGAGGGATTCTCCATAAAACATAAACGAAAAGGGTTTGCTAACTTGGGAGATTTTAATTCCCTTGTTTTTTTATTTAAAATAAAAAAATGTTACGTAACGCGTTGGTCGAACCCCCCTCCCGCCCCTGTAACGCATCGTAACGTTTTACAAGACCCCCCCTCCCCCCAAATTGCGTTACGTAATACTTGAACGCCCCCTTATGCGCATTACGAACAATACCATAAATATACATAGCGAATGAAAATATCCATTAAAAGAAAAAAGAGTGTATCCCTAGTTTTGACCATCGGCACTTTGATAGAGCGCGGCGTCTTGTTGTCGGCGTCATCAAAGGTCGGATACTGACCTGTCAAAGAAATTGTGCAGCTATTCGAAAGTACAAGGTCAAGATACACGTGCCGGCGGCTACTATTGATATCGCATAATCGTCGCCGCCGCGCCACGCACTACATTTGACACTGTTTGATTGCCGCCACAGAGTACATGTTTCAAAGAATAAAATAAGTTTAAAGCATTTCGTGTTTTATGCGATAATATATTTTTGTTTTTATAGTGTTTGTCGAATTCTAACTTTAAATCGCCTCAAAGTACGGGGTCGCCTTTATGTTTAATAGTGTTTCGCAGACAAATGGTGAAATTCGATAGTGCTTTACAAAAAATTACAATCCATGAAGAAATTCATAATTCGATAAATAGTAAATAAGGAAGGAGGAATAAGCGATATCAAAACTGCGGTGAATAATCTCAAGATTATAAAGTAGTGGTAATTTGCCGTGGATTTAGTTTGGTCTATTTAAATAGAAAACTGAAGGGGGTCATAACAATTTGTAATAAAATACGTTCAAATACTATTCAGATAGCAAAATTGTGTTACTTTAAATATAGATAACTTTGAGTAGGTCTTATAACTATGTAGTGGCGGTGTAAGAATATTCACTACCCCATATTGTCCCTAGGGTGTCGTAAGAGGTGATAAGGGCAAAATGAAAGAGGAGATGGGCAGATAAAAAAATGCCGATGCCAACCCACTTACCAAGCATGGCAACTTTGGCAAAATCTCCACATAAGGCAATCTATGAGGAAGGTCTATGTTGAGAAGTGGACTTTTATAGGCTTTAATTGATGACTGGATACACAAAAATACGGTTAACGCCTAGCTTTTGGAGCGTCATTAATATAATAATAATAATAATCTTTATTAAAACTTATATAGGTTACAAACAAATTATTGCACTGATTCCTAAACTAGGATTAATCCTGTATCTTACGATGTCAGTACCTTCCCATACAATTTTATAATATTAAATTTTAACGCAGACTTTTATAAAACATTTTTTTTAAATAAAACTTTGTTATTCCTCTTCAACTGAGTGTGTGTAGATGTGTGTGTTTAGGTGTGTGTGTGTGTGCGTTTTTTGTGTCTGAGAGAGAGAGAGAGAGTGTGTGTGTGTGTGTGCGCGCACGTTACCTTTAGCTTATACGTTAACACTAAGAAGTCTTTCACAAGCGTAGTAGTCAAATTCTTTTAGCCAATCAGGCAAAACGATTTTTAATTTAAAGTTGCTTCGCCACTGTATAATTTTTGTTTTGTTGAATCTATTATATAGCCGAGGCGCAAGATATTCGTAATGCTTTCTTGCTATCGAGCTTTTCCTGTTAGAAGCAGGGTATTTTGCAGTTCTTTTGTTCTTAATATTTATGTGTGGTACAGATAAACGATGATACCATCTGATGCATTGATACACGAAAGTTTTCCGAACAGACAAAACACTTTTTTTTTATATAGCAAGCTGGTCGGGTAACGGTAAGGTAAGAAAAGCATCACCTTTATGACAGCTCTTTGCGCGCGTTCCATTTCCATTAAGTGTGATTTGCACGCACCACCCGCAGAACATATGCAGTAATTTATTAAACAGTGGCATAGAGCATTATAAGTCCGGACTAAAAGTTGTTGATTAGCTATTTGTTCTTAAGTTTCTGAAAATAAATAACAGTTTTCTTATTCTTTTGGCCGTATTTGAAATGTGTAGATATCATGACAGATATACGTTTAGGTATACGTTTACGTCAGGTATACGTTTAGGTACTCTATGAGACACAAAAAATATAATGAAAAAAAAATTGGAAAATTGGACTTATGCGCATTACGAACAATACCATAAATATACATAGCGAATGAAAATATCCATTAAAAGAAAAAAGAGTGTATCCCTAGTTTTGACCATCGGCACTTTGATAGAGCGCGGCGTCTTGTTGTCGGCGTCATCAAAGGTCGGATACTGACCTGTCAAAGAAATTGTGCAGCTATTCGAAAGTACAAGGTCAAGATACACGTGCCGGCGGCTACTATTGATATCGCATAATCGTCGCCGCCGCGCCACGCACTACATTTGACACTGTTTGATTGCCGCCACAGAGTACATGTTTCAAAGAATAAAATAAGTTTCCGGGTGCTCAGAATGGACACGAATACATTATCCTGATCTCGCAAGAAATATTGTAATTAGATAATAGGTAGGTATCATAATAATTTATTCTAGTAAGTAATTATTATAAAATTAACTATATGGATTTATAATAATTACTTACTAATATTGTTATTATTATTACCTAAAAGATAAGACATGTTCAGTAAGTTCACTGCAAATTTCGACTTATGCAAGTGTGTGTTTTTAAAACACACACTTGCAAAAGTCGTCACACATTTGATAAATATGGTTGACACCATAGCACTTTTAAAACACTTGAAATGTGTAAAAATGGATCTGGATCTTGTCTTCAAGGCTTAGTTATTAAGGAGTTGGAGGGGTACCTAGGTAAACACAGAGCCGTCATCTCGGAAGACATTTTAGACTGTTGGAGGACGCATGAGACAAAATATCCGATTTTATCGAAGATGGCCCGTGATTTTCTTTTAATACCTGCAACTTCAGTACCTGCTGAGAGATTATCTTTTAAAGCATCATTAGTAATTAGAAAACATAGAAATAGGTTAAGTGATGAGTCAGCCAGATGGTTACTTTGTATTAATGCTTTGTCAAAAGAATAAATATAAAGTACCTAACAGTAATGTCAAAGCTGTTGTGTACATACTGTGAAGTAATTTAATTTGCATCGTATTTTATTTTTTATTTAAATAAATGGTATATTGTATAACTCTTTTATTCCATTTCATATATGGTGAGGGTCCATCAATCTCTTTCTAGAGAGATAATTTTATTTAAAATACAGTGTAGTTATTGCCATTAATTTGTTTTTATATGTATGTTTAACCATGTTTTAGCACATGTAAGCTTAAATGTAAAGGTTTATTAAGAAACTGACGCCCATGGCGGTGGGACACGGTAGATAGCTCAGTTGGTTAGAGCATCGGCACGGACCGCTTAGGTCGTGGGTTCAAACCCCACCCGGTGTCAGTTGATTTTTCGAATTTCTCATTAAATGTTTAGACATTTATTAATATGGTTGGTCTTTACTATGGCTATGTTAATTCAAGCTCAATATGTACCTACTCTGTTAAGTTGTCCTAAGATCTAAAGTAGTTTATTTATTTATTTATTTATTTACACTTCATACAACATGATGTATAGGCGGACTTAACCCTTAATTTGGCAAGGCAATTTATTTTTAATTTTTATAGAAATTTCGACAAATATCAATTAAGTAACTTATTTAGCACCCTAAAAAAATATTTAAAAAAAAGAAAATCTTGTAGTTTTTTGAAAATCCTCCGTATCTAGCAGGATACACTGCCAAATACGGACATAATGATATGCAACTGACAGTGTATCTGCAGAGATACATTGCCAAAATTAGGTTCTGAAAGAAAATAAAACAAATCGAGAAAAATGTTAAATTTTAATTATGGAAATCGAAAAAACAGTTTCTAGCTTTAGTCAGACATAACCTTGTTCTACATTTTGAGCAACAAATGCTAGTTTAACCCGTTTTACAGAGGCGACAACGACCTTTCTCCTCGAAAATTGGCAGGTGATCTGCTCCATCATACCTTGTGTCATCGAATGGTCGAGGAACTACAGGTTTTTTTATTTTTTGGTTACAATACGGAACATCATGGTGCTCTATCGGTTTGGATGCCAATAAAAAAAAAATTGGCATCGAAATTCTTTGAGTGACATGGTTTTCTTGAGATTTTTCTGGGCACAATATCTTCGATATAGAATCCATCCGTTATTTACGCTGATATCTAGCATCTGAGCAAAAATGCCCATATACCACCTGCGACTTTTTATTTGGGTCCTATAAAGGGCTATCAACATGTCTGCCAAGTCAACACCTCCCATATGCATGTTATAAAATTTTACAACCTGCGGACAATATACATTCGTCTGCGTTTTCAGTTCTTTGGAATATCTATTTACTTTGCTAACTTGATATGCGTCAGCAAATGAACAGGCCAAGGTAACTGGCTTATTATCTAACCACTTTACGACTGAAACTTTATTGCGATTACAAACTATCTGCGAAAATGATCCCCGACCTTTTCTTTTTAGCATTTTATCTGTATCCAATTTCTCTTGACATCCTCGCAAGCGGTTAGCCTTTACAGTACCAAGGCTGAATATTCCCAGCTCATTTCTCAAATACACTACTAGCTCGAGAGATGTGTAATAGTTATCGAAATATACAAAGCATGGCCTTTTTTTAATCGATTGACAGAGAACCACTACTACTTTACCTCCAAACCCTAACGAATGTTCCTCTGAGCTGAATTGTATACTGCGGAAGGTATCGTCACCCCCGTATAAAAGGAAGTCGTAAACATATCCAGACACTCCACTTCGTACAAAAGCTTTGAAACCCCACTTCTTTGGTTTTTTTGCATTGTATTGACGCCTGTTGCCAGCCTTTTTACCTTTGTAAGGAAGAGTCATCTCGTCAATGCTAAATCTGTCCTCTTCTTCAGCAACACGTAAGCAGTTTTGTCTTACACTTTCAACTACAGGTCGAACCTTTTGGTATCTATCCGTACTCGGTTCATTATTATCAGCGAAGTGAATAAATCGCCGGATTAGCTGATATTTTTTCAAAGGCATAATGTCTGCAATTGGCGGATACCTCAATCGCGAACTCCAGTAATCTAAATAACACGGCATTCTTACCACCCCCATAAGAATGTGAATAGCCACAAAATTTTCAATGTCTGGCTTCGTTATGTTAGCAGAGCGACCTGTTTTTTCTACAGAATACATATTACTTTGATTTACAATTTCAGTAATGATTTCATCGGAGAAAAACAGTGCAGAGAAATATCTTCAGGAGGTGGATCTGTAAATACAACTGGTTCTATGGAAGCACTGTGGGAAAAACGTGTTTTTTTCCAGTGGAAATTTAATTGTAGTCGTTTTGCTCTTTTTACTAGAAGTCGGGGTTGCATGTCACGTCCGCGCTTTCTAGATCTCGTGCATATTTGACCACGTGATGTAGATGGAGTAACTGGCACAGGTAAAGCCGGTGATGGCAATAATGGAATCGAACTTATAGAAGGTAAAGAATTGTAATCAATTTTGTCATTGGAAGGAAATACAGCATTCAATACAGGAGAAAGCGCTACATCAAGGATCGAAGGCGAATCGGATCGATCGTTAGTCACAGAAAGTGACGCAGCTGGTGTTGCAAAAGAGGGATCTTCGTCATCGCTGTCAAGTATATTCATTCGTTCGAGTGACGAATCTATGGAAGGCGGAGAAGAACTGAAACAGTCTTCATCTGGAGGTTCAAAGAACTCCTCTTCTTCAACGTCTGACAGCTCACTACCATCAGACTGTGCATTTATTTCAGGTAATAGTGGAAAAATGCGGTTACACCTAGCCCGTTGAAGTATCTATGGACAATAAAATAAAAAAACATATGAAACCAAAAACCAAACCCAAGCAAAAATAAAACAAAAGACACCATAACACGAAAATACTACATAAAACATCAGGCAAATTCATAAATCAGATATTAATCTTAGATTTGGCGGGGCGGGATTACTCACACAGCCATAAAATATAGTATTATGTATTAGTATTAGTATATAATATAACTTCAAACGTCAAGCATTGTTTTACTAAGTTTTGACGGTGTTTCCCCTCAGATACAGTATTATGTTACACAACTTAGCCGGGTTTTTGGCAATGTATCTGTGTGGATACAATTAGGTTAGAATACATACTAGGGCCTAGAAAACACATTTCAAGACAAGATTTTTATCGAAATCATTAGTTTAGTTCAATACAAAAACATTGCAACAAATATTTCGTGTCAAAAACTATAAAAATACAGATAAAATCGATATTACTTACGGATGGGTTGCTCCCATGACGTGACATCTTCGCAGAATAACATAACTAGGGATGGGAATGAGTCGAAAATGCAGTTTATAGTTTTTATAGTGTTGTTACTTAATCCATCTTTAACATAAAATCGATCGATTTCAAATAAAATGTTTATATATAGCTGAAGATTTTTTTTAAATGATTGTATCTTACAGTACACATTACCAAATTAAGGGTTAATGCCTGAGGCATTCTCTACCAGTCAACCTTTGAGTGATGCAGAGATAAAAATAAGAAGTAGGTGTGTGAAACGCTAAAAGACAAGAAAATAAATTAAAGTATATAAATATAAAACAAATATAATACATATACCCATACATAAACTTACAAATCAAAAATTATTTAATATATGCATAGTATTATATATAAGTTATGTACATAAAATAATAAATTACATACAATATATAATTACATATTTATATAAATACATATAAATGAATACTACAAATGAGATGATTCTGCCAGTTTATTAAAGTAATGTTCACGAATTTTCTTCTTGAATGCATAACGATTATTAGCCGTTCTAATTTCAAGAGGGAGTGCGTTCCAGAGGAGAACAGACTGTACAGTGAAGGAAGAATGTAGGAAGCCAGATTTATGAGAGGGACACTTTAGTAAAAGGTTGTTCGAAGAACGCAGGTTTCTGTCATGGCTAGAGCAAAGGTACTGGAAATGAGAAGTTAAGTAAGAGGGGGGAGTAGGAGACATCAGAATGGAGTATAGGGTTGTGAGTGCGCGCACACTTCGTCGCTGACGAATGGGAAGCCACTTAAGACAGACTCACCAATGCGGACTGACTGCTGACGTCCCCGAAGATAAGTTGAAAACCAGTCAAGTGCTTCGGAAGAAATCATGGAATGGGAAAGGATAGAAAGTAGGATGTCATGGCTGATGGTATTGAAGGCGTTCGAAAAGTCAACCAAAGCCAGTACAGTGACTTTGGTGTCCTCCATGCCCGCCCTAATGTCATCAGTGACCTTAAGAAGAGCGGAAACAGTGCTGTGACCGGGCCTGAAGCCAGACTGAAAAGGGCTTAATAAATTGTTCTTATAAACAAACAGAGATAGTTGCCTATGTACACAGGCTTCAAGTACTTTGGATAGGAAAGGAAGAATGGATATAGGTCTGAAGTGATTGGGTAAAGTCGGATTGGAAGTTTTCGGCAAGGGAATAATGTGGGCCATGCGCCACAACGACGGGAAAACTCCGGAATCTAGGGAGAAGTTTATGATATGGGAAATAACTGGAAGAATATGGTCAAGGATATAAATGATCATACGGCGGCTGATGTTATCGCAACCCACAGCGTTTGACTTAATGGAAAGTATTATCTTTTTAATTTCATCCGAAGCAACTGGAGAAAAATGGAAGGGATCAATATCTAGACAAGGTAAGCCATTTAAGTAATCAACAGTGTGACACTTGGTTTGGTGATCCAGAGGAGTATGAGAAACAAGATGTCTGTTAATATCATCCAAACCAAGTGTTCCCTGAAACTCAAAACGTGGCTGTTTACCGATTCCGAGAGTCCTAAGGAACTTCCAAATATCGGCAGAGGAAGAGGAAATTATGTTATCAAGAATATATCGGCGTTTAGCGTTGCGTATCATCTGATTACACCGATTCCTAGCAGCTTTATAGAGGTTCCATCTCTCTTCACTCCGCTCTCTTCTAAAACGTTGAAAAGCCCGGTCCCTACGCCTCATGGCTATGCGAACACCTCTCGTCATCCATGGAGCATGTGGTCGCTTGACTTTCACCCTCTTGACTGGTGCAATTTTTTAAATAGTAATAAATAAATTAATTAATAAATAGTAATAGGCTAATAGGTCATATCCTCCCGTGGGTGTCGTAAAAGGCGACAAGGGAAACAGGCAGGAGATGGGCAGCAGCATCTTCCTGATAATAGCCAAAATTACAATAAAAAAACTGTGGTTGCCAACCCGCTCGCCAAGCGTGGCAACTATGGCAAATACCCCCCTATGAATGTAACAAAGAGACGGCCCCCAGTCCCCGGCGGCCCCGCTATTCCTGGCTACGGTGGCGACCATGGTAACGGCGGGGCAGGGGGTGCTAAGAATCTCCGGTGGAGGTTCGGTTGCCACCTTAGACGACTCGACCTGGCAACGTACAACGCACGCACCCTGAGGACTGACGAGAAGATCGTGGAGCTGGAAGAAGAGATAGACAAGTTGCGCTGGCATATTATAGGATTATCCGAAGTCCGAAGAGAGGGGGAGGACACGGTAATCCTCGAATCCGGCAACTTGCTCTATCACCGGGAGGGCGACCATCTGTCCCAAGGAGGTGTCGGATTTATCGTCCACAAGTCTCTCGTTAACAACGTTATAAAGATCGGGAGTGTGTCGACGAGGGTTGCGTACCTTATACTCAGAATCACCAAACGGTATTCGCTGAAGGTCATACAGGTTTACGCACCAACCTCGGCACACCCCGATGAGGAGGTGGAGGAAATGTATGAGGATATCTCTAGAGCCATGCATTCCTCCAAAACCCAATATACGGTGTTAATGAGAGACTTCAATGCAAAACTAGGCACAAGAGAGAACGGTGAGCTGAAAGTAGGGAAATTTGGAATAGGGCAACGGAACTCAAGGGGCCAGCAGCTGGCCGACTTCATGGAGAAGGAGGGACTCTTTATGATGAACCCCTTCTTCCAGAAGCGGCCCCACAGGAAGTGGACCTGGTCGAGCCCCGACGGTTCGACAAAATATGAGATTGACTTCATTATGACGACCAGACGACAACTGTTCAGTGATGTCTCCGTGATCGCGAGGGTGAAAACTGGTAGCGATCACCGAATGGTTAGAGGCACACTGAACCTAAACGTTAAGTTGGAGAGGTCTCGTCTAATGAAGTCAACGCTCCGTCCCCCTCGTGCTCTGTTCCAAAGTCTCGAAACCTTTCAGCTCGAGTTACAAAACCGTTTTCAGTGCCTAGAAGACTGCAATTAAGTGGACGATATGAATGACAAGCTCGTGGAAACTGTCCATGCGGTCGGAGCTAAGTTCTGTAAGACCCGCCGCAGAAGAACACAAAAACTCTCCGATCACACTCTTAATCTCATGGCTGTTAGACGGGAGATGAATCTACATTCTTCAACAGACTTGACAGCATACAGGCATCTGAACAGACAGATCTCCAAATGCATGCGGCGGGACTTACGCAACTTCAATACAGCTCGTATTGAAGAAGCGATCGAGCGGAACCAAGGCTCCAAAGTCTTTGCCAGAGATCTGTCTGCCAGAAAGAGCCACCTGTCAAAGCTGAAGACAGAATGTGGCAGCATCGTTTCCGGGACACCTGAGATTTTGAGTGAGATTGAGAGGTTCTATGGGCAGCTGTACACGTCATCGTTGGAGCCACACGCAAGTGTGAGTAATGATCTAAGAGCGAGTCTCATCCGACACTATTCCGAAGATATCCCGGACGTCAGTCTGAGCGAGATTAGAATGGCTCTTCAGCACCTTAAAAACGGTAAGGCCCCAGGCGAGGATGGAATTACAGCGGAGCTTCTGAAAGCGGGTGGAAGACCTTGAAGTCTTGACCTTGAAGGGAAGGTACTTGAAGTCCTTCAGAAGCTCTTTAATTCCGTCCTCCATGGTGGCATTACACCGGAGGCGTGGAGCAGAAGTGCGGTGGTCTTGTTCTTCAAGAAAGGTGACAACGCTCTCTTGAAGAACTACAGACCGATT